ATAGTACCAGAAGGTGAGGCTGCCAGAGAAGAGACTTGCCTGGTATTCTGCCTCCTAGACCCAGCTGGTCCCTCATTCCCTGCATCCGTGCTGGGGTTGCTGCTTCTGCCTCCTTGCTGAGCAAGGAGAGGCAGAGCACAGGAAAGCTGGCATCTGCCAGAAGCAAGCAGTAAGGGAAAAACACGGCACTCGAACAGGCCCAGCAACATTAGATGGTCCTTGCACATGGCAGATAATCCTTCAGTATCGTCAGGAGGAAATTCAGCCTCACGAGCTAGCGCAGGAGATTCTCCAGTCCGAGGATCCCTGGTTTAATTAGTACAGCGTTGCAGCACAGGCTGACCACCAATAGCAGCAACATGTCACGAACCAGCTGGACATTTCTGGAGTGAAAAATGCAGAACTAGGGTCTAGGTTAGGACAAAGTCACAATTCAAAGGAATTGTGATTCTTTTGGGGGGTGAGAAACAACCCTTAGGCACACCTTCAGCCCATATCCCCCATGCTCCCAATCTATATTTACGTCTATGTGAGGTAATGTATGTGGAGTAGGAGTCTTCCTACTCCACATAAGGTGACTTTAGCCCCCATTTTAGCTCCCCCTACACATCTGAACCTTGCCAAGCAATTAATTCTTCCCCTCAATATCACCTCTAGAACCCAGATGTGTAGAAGCCCCATTAAGCCTGTCTCCATTTTATTTCATAAATGTAAACTCACCTGGTGTTCCTCTTCCAGCAATTGGAATGCTTCATATCCTTCGCATAAAAAAACTGGGCAATATTCTTTGCATCTTTTAATTTTTTTTTATTTTTTTGTTACTCTACTTTCCCAGACCAGTCATTAAGGAAAAAGGGAGAAAGGAACACCTCACTTTCCTTCCTCATCAACTTTCCCATCTCTGCTATGGGATGCAGTAACCAAGACAGACAGCACTGCTCCAGCATCTGCTCTGAGTAGCTGTTGTCCCCGGAGGGAGGGAGGAGTTTCTTCTTTCACACTGGCTCCCTGCTGCGCACAAATTTGTGCACAGCAAAGAACATTATGAGAACTAAGAGCACTGAAAGACTGGCCCTCTCGAGGGAATAGATACTTGGCTAGTTTTGGGGTTGTTCCAGTTATCGTGAAATGCAGTTTACCTGTCTGTTTGATATGTACAAAAAAAACCAACCAAGGCCTGTCAGATCCTTCAGACTGGTCTGGCAACTTGGAACTCGTATCTCCTGACCTTGTCCATACCAGAAAAAAGGGTCTCAGACACCCATGACAGTACTTGAATTCTTACACATCAGTATTTCTTGTATCACTGCTATTTTTGAAGGGACTAACTCAAGCCTTCAGTAAAATGCATTTATGTATCATGACAAAGCAAAAAATAATGCAATGATTGAGAGGAGGGAGAAAAGGAAGGAGAAAAATAGTACAAGAAACAGGGAAAAATACCCAACATGCTAAGGAGTCAGATCTTTCAACACCTCAAATTGCGTAGTTGCCTCGTTTCTCACATTCCTAGCATAAAAAACAAAAAAAACCCCACACCAAAAAACTTTCAAGACTTTCAACTCCCATCCAGTAAGAGGAAGAGCCTGAAACATTTCAGTTTCCCTAGAATAAATCCCTTAATAGAACCTGATGCTTTTAAAAATTTTTCTGCACAATACATTCGTTAGCTAAGCTTTATTCATAGATCCAACAGCAGCGTATCAAATGTCATTTCTTACTCAAGTCCTCTGTCAATACCATTCTTGACAAGAGCAGGAAAGATGTACTGGGACAAGGTGATGTGCAAAGTTTCATCAAACTGCACTAAATTGCCTTTGTCCAGACCTTCATATAAAGATTACTCAGATGAGCAAGGACTGCAAACAGGGCTCCAAATTCTCATTACTGGCAAAACCCTAAACCACTTTTATACACAAGCCAGGCCATTGCTGTAAGTGCCCTCGTAGTGTTCTATTGCCTCCAGTACATTGTTTTATTGGTGTATGTTGAAAACTCTGAGAACAAACCAAGCAAGTAGAGATGCTTATAGCGTTTGTTGCTAATTCCTGATGCGTTTAGAACCAGTTTTTGTTCTGTGTGCAAACAGTTGAACCAAAGTCTGCAGATTATCTACAAAACAGTTGCAGAACAAGTTCTAGACTATGTTGTTCATGAAGCCTTTTTTTTTTTTTTAAAAGACACCCCATCCCCCCACCCCCAAATATCGTCTACTATTTACATTGTAGGATTGAGCACTCGGGTTAGTTACATGTGAGAAAAACAAAACAAGCCTTTTGCACTCGTCTGTAGGTAGATCTGAATATTCACGCAAAACTATTCTCCAAATGTTGGAAAAAAAATGAAAAGCCAATCATGCATGTACTGAAAATACAAGGAATAAACTGTGTCAGCATGGCCAAATAAAAGAAAAAAAAACATTCTTCAATGTTTTGCTCTCTATAGTTAAGCTGGCCATCTGATATACTGAAATAAAAACTCTTGCATGCAAATATTACTAGACTGACTCCCCAGTGCAGTAGAACTTACCCATTGTTTGAATACAGGAGTTGATGCTACACAATGAAAAATTTCAGTTACTGGAATTCAGGATTTCCTGTCACTACAGTAGAATGAGAAACAAATTCTTAGCAGTCTTGTGCCCTTCCAAGATTTTGAACTTCTCGGACAACAGCTCAGTTCAGGTATTTGACTTCTGATAGGGAAATGACAAAGTTAGTGTATCTAAACTCTTAACAGACATGACAGAATTGGATCTTCATGGGAATTTCATCTGCCTCCAGACAGCAGGGCTGTACTATACATTGTTACTGACATACAGCATATATAGGTCACTATTATAATTGCTTTAGCCAGAAAATAACAATTTCAAAGAATGCCAAAAAAACAAAAAAAAGTATTTTTACCTATCCAAAATGTCTTAAATGACAGCCAGTGCCTTTACAGTAGAAGAGTTATACTGTGTTCAGGTTAAGAAGACTAGCATACAAATTATCGTTTTGGTCAGTTTAAGAAAGCATCACTGCCACAGCTAATGAATTTACTGACAGGTAGCCTTATTAACAGAGTATGATACGAACTTCAACACCGCATGTGATCCTGGTACTAAAAGAGTCAAGACAGGATAATAAAAAAACCAAACAAACAACTCATCAGGACTAGGTTTGTTCTTGTACTAGCAGACAAGCACTAGCTACAAAAGTAGCACTAACTCCAAAGGAAAAGGAGAGCCACCAGTACTTCAGCTCACAGCAATAGCCAGTAAGAATATGCCTTACTACTTCACAATTGTCATCTGAAGGCATGGCGGCTTTCTAAGCACATGCACCAACGCCAGGGACTGCTGCTTAGAGTCAAGAACACTTAATCTAGAGCATGCCTTGAAAATGTTTAGAGAACTGAGAACAGTTGATGAGAATATAGTAAACTGAGGGAAATTTTATTTATTTGTCAATTGTGACGTTATTCCACAGCCCATCAAGTGTCTTGTCCCTTCTACAGCTTAGTATTATTATGAACAAACTGCGTAACGGAGACCTTGCTTCCAAGATTACAACCTTACAGAGTATTAAGAGGCAAATATCATTTTAGTAACAGGTTAAGTGTGATCTTATCTATTTACAGGAAGATTGAAGTACTTGCTTCAGTTCCTCTTTATGCTCTGATTAACACTACAGTGACTACTCAATTACACCCAAGAATTTTATTGACTTTGTCTTACTACACTTCACTGTAAGCTGTAGTCTTAACCCCTCATGCAGATCCCATCACTCTTAAATGAGGCTCAAGATCTTTACTACTTTCTCACTTTGATTTTGTGAAATTACTTATTTTATAGCAGAATTGCAACCTACTGGTACACAAAGCCAAGCATGGTGACTCTTTGAAATACGAACTGCTATACGCATGCTGTAACTCAAAAGCGTAGTGGCTAAACAGAGCTCCCCTAAACCCGAGTATTTAATTACTTAAAAGCACTTGAAAGAATTAAAACAATGAAATAGTAATTTCTGTTTACCAAACAGCATGTTTCTTTTGAGCTAACAGGCCTAACTTGGTTTTAAGTACCTGCTTGTTTAAGTCTACCTCTAACTTCTTCCCTGGAAGAGGAGACAGCATTTAATTTGTCACAAGCATTGTTTCATTTTAACCTATTGGGACTACCAATACAACCCGTATTGCAGGCAAGCCACCTCTTCTGAACAAGGTGTTCCTTTTAAGGTTTGTTTCAAGGAGCTGCATTGCTAGAAATATGCATATTAACAGCTACTGATCCAATGCATGGAAACATCAGCTTTGGTTAATATGTAATCAGCAATTCATTGAAGGTGTAAGCAAAACTCTACTCACTTTGCACTGTCTCCTGGGTCTCTGTTACATATTGGAGATAGTTAATGACTTTATTCAAAAGCTCTGGAATTTTCTCTTGTTAGCTGTGTTCACAGTTAACAGTACTTCCTGGAAACTTAAACCTCAATTACATAAGAGCACCTTCCAAGGCAGCTTCTGAACCTATACTAGCTTGACTTTACCAGACCTTGTCACTGGGATTTCTTGTAGCAAGGACAAGAAGACCTGGGCTAAAAATAAGAGAGGAGCTTAGCCTAAAACTGCAATGAAATCATGCTTTGTGTTCCTAAAGACATACAATCAATAGAACAGAATATTTCAGTTGGAGGATTGAGCCATATTTGCATCCATACAGCAGACAGGCAACAGAAAAAGATTTTAAAATGCCCATTAGTAGCAGCCTCAAAAAACATATTAATTTAAGCCTTTTGAACTACAGAAGTATAAGGGGGCAGAAATACAAAAGCAGTCAGCAGCAGTTGCATAGAGCTGATTTTTTGGGTGACTATCACCATTAATATAATACTGACTAAATCCCTGTACAAGTGTTCAAGTTAACTTCCCAGCTAACCACCAACATAATCTGTGATTCTTCTGGTAGAACCCATGTTGTTTTTTAAATGTAGATACAACTATGAAACAGACATGCATGCTTTTCAGCAGTTCGTATTTGTTTTATTACAATTTTTGTAACTGTTAGTATTTTCGTATCTGGACATCTTAATAGGAATTTTAGATTTACAACTTCAAAAGACACTTACAGAATTATACGTCTTGATGACAGCTACTCTACTGCATTGTATACAACTTTGTTGCCCACCTTCCGTGTCCCGCTCTACATAGCTCCAAACAAGTGAAAATCTGAGATTTGATGTTCACATTCAAGCTGCACGAAAGCTCAGTATACGGAAAAAAAGTGGTAACTTGCAGTTCGACTATTTCAGGAATCAAGAAGAGCATACACAGAACTATACATTTTATAATTTTATTAGGAATAATTCCAAGTGGGTTATGAAGAAACTAATCCATTGAGTTTGATGAATTTTTCAAAATTTCTTTATGAAGATATGTTCACCAACAAACAGTAAAACTTCAGCAGAACTATTATACACTGGGCAAAAATAGGCAGCGTGATAACAAAAAGCAACATGCAACATAAAAAAAAAAAAGATACAATATAAAGGAAGACAATCTGCTGAATATTAAAAACAACCTCAACATGAGCTCTTCGCAACCAGCACAGAACTATTCTACCCATCAAATCCAATTCACACAAAGGCAAGTTGGGCTGACAGAACCCAAGGATTAATAAAATGTTCCTCAGTGCAGTAGATTCTTATAGTGTTTTAGAGCATTTCCTTGTCTGGAACAAGCAGTATTAGGAATTCTTTTTGGCAAGGGAGAAAAATAAATACATACGGAATGCTACATTTTTAAATCAGCAGACTGTCTGAGGAATGAAACAGGGCATCAGTAAACTAAAAGTAGCAGGGAGAAAAAAAATTAAAACATTAATTTACTGGGACTCAAAAGAGTATTCAAAACAGATCTTAAAGATGTCACAATAACTATATTCAGGCATTTAGGCTAACAAGGGGAATAGAATCAGAAGATACACTATTTCCAAGTTAAGGAGATTTTTACCCAAGCATATTGCTACCTTTGCAACATATAGCTCGGTAAACAATAATTGGCAACAAAATAAGTTGAAACGCTGTGATATCCTGCCCAAATATCGGTTCCAGATACTGTAATAACCAAGATGCAAACTAATTTTGTTGTAACAAGCCTAGACCACTTATATCAAACATGTCCCTGGTGAAAGAGTCATCCAGTTTGAGTTAGCGTTTTGAGAGTTCATTTGACAGCCAGTCAAGTCCCTCATACAGACCAGTTCCTTGCGTAGCGCAGGTAGCCTGGACATACCACTGTTAATGCAGAACACAAAGAAAAATTAAATTTTAAAACCGACAAAATGCAAGCTATGTTATCACAGTATGAGACTCTCAGATACCTACTCAAATAGCGTTCTTTAAACACAGTTTTGTGCCATAAGTAGAGACAATATTGAACAGATGCTATTTTTGTAAGTTTTGGAAAGTACATATACAATAGATGGGGTTCAGACATTATCCAAAAACTCACGTGTTGGATTACCAAATGCTAGAACACCATTTAGTGCATCAAGAAACAAATACAGAACTTGCGTTTGGTTTATATCCCGAAAACTAGCTTCTTGTTTTTGAAAGACTGCTCTTCAGGAAATGGACATGGAATTATCTAAATTAACAGACCTCTAAAACATCTTCCATGGATATGATATTAATGTGTCAACAGACATTAAGCAAGTATTAAAGAAGGATAGATGGTTTATGCAAAGCAACCCCATGTCTCAAAGGCTTGCGCAGACGGAATCTAACAATTCAGCAGCTACTTAACTTCCTCCCGTCTTTGTAGTGGTGAGAGTGCAGAATGCATTTTCTCCCCCAGAATTATAAGTATTGGGAAAACAGGAAACCTCGCCACATGCTTTGTCAAACATGTTTGACAGCTGTATTTCAGTGACAGCCTGGAACATTTGTATTTTTCCAGGAGAAGGTGAGAGATGAAACACTGCAACAGCTGTACACATGGGATCATACTTCCAAATCACTTATTTTGAATGAGGACCTTAAACTATGCACTACAGAGTTTAATAGCAGGTATGTGTATCTTTAAAGGAAAGAGAAGTTTTCACCTCTTTCTGTAGAGAGGAAGATTACATTTATGATATGAAGGAAGACAAAAGTTCAGCAGCCAGGAAGTTTAGCACTTACAGTTCTGTTACGCAGAGACTGAAGACCTAGTTTATCTGTCATTTCACTGATTGCCATGGCATTTGGCAGATCTTGTTTATTCGCAAACAGAAGCAGCACTGCATCTCGCAGCTCATCCTCCTGAAGCTAACAGAAAAAACGTTCACGTTATTAAATTAGCTCAGTTAAGTTCTTCAATTACTTCAACAAGTGCTAAAGAAACCTAAATACTGATTTAAGGGTTATAAGCTTTTTCATTCTTGCTCCTGAAGTCACTAGTAAGTAGAGTGAAAGTTAGCAGAGAACTTCTCCTACAAGTAAAGAAATTGTCTTTCAACAGGCAGTTTAAATTTACCAGCACCTTGCTGCGGAAATTCTTAGCACCAATTTGTTTTTCCAAAATTCTTTCTTCATCTGCTGCATTTCTATTAAGGCTTTATGAAGGAAAGAAAGGTTCTGACACAGTAGTAGTTCTTGAACTAAAACCCTCTACAGAGTTGTAGTTACAACTCAGTGTACTGTGTGGCCCAGAATTACCAGGTGAATACAATATGCACTGTACAAACTCCCTAGAATTTTAAAATCCTAAATCTCTTAAGGAAGCTAAGACACATCCAAAACCAAGACAAAGTAAGTATAACAATTATATTTTAGAAGGTATTGGTATTTACCATTTTCTGCAGCTCTTCTGCTGCTTCCTGGATTCTCTCTCTGTCATTGCTGTCTACCACAAAAATGAGGCCCTGTAAGAAGTTAAGCAGTTTTGAAAAAACAATGTAAACATGCAGTACTAATTTAAAAAACAAAAAAACTCTTACTGAATATTGGGACCATCCTCTCTCTTAGGTAAGCAAATTTGACAGAAATTTAAAGCAATGCAAGATGTCCATCTGAACAAGGACATTAAGTTTCAACTTTAAAATAAAGCTAGGCCTTCTAAATCAAAGAAGTTAAATAACACAAATGTCAATTTATAGATTAGTGTGGGACTCATTAGTTTGAAAGAAAAAAAGACAGACACCAGCAAAATTTCAGAAGCTAACTCTCCCCCTCCCTTTTCACTCATTGTATCACACTAAATGCATCAAGAGAATCGCAAGTGCTTCACCATCTCATGTCTCACTGAAAAAACCCACACCCTTAAAGTAAGGCCTGAATTTCTTTGAAAAAGTTTGTACCAAACAGGATTTCTAATGGCATCTGTTATTCAAGTGTCCTCCTTACAAACGCACTATTTACTTCTAAAATTTCAGTCTGAAAACTTTACATTTTATCATTCTCTTTAAGAGAACAGAAGAATCTTTTAAAAATATTTAGTAACAGAGTTGAATAAGGAACTGAAATTAAGTATTACTCTATTCACAACAGTACTTTGCTAGCTCTTTTTTGTCGATCCAGACTTCTCCATTTGTCTGCACCAATCACATCCATTATGCTGCACAGAAGTCTCTTGTAAACAGTTCTATATTCAACACAGCAAAAAAAAAACCCCAAAACCCAAAAACCACACCACTCCCAAAGTTTCCTGATACTAATAAGCAACTTGCCTTACTACTTATGAACCAAAGCAAAGAATCACATTTATGTCACCAAAAATGCCAGCAGTCACATCAATACAAAGCAGACACTTTCTAATCAATTGGTAACAAGATCTTTTACGATGTTTTTAGGTACTCAGGATACTAAATACAGTGACACAGCACAGTAAAAGCTGTATATTTTGAGGCTGACTAGAAAAACAGAATATGTAGAAGGGTGCTTAGACAATAACATTTCTTATGTATAAGCCAATGCCAGCTGAAACAGATCAAAACATGGCAAAGTTGAAGAGCTCCTCACAAACAAACCAGCTGCTCTGGCACGTTACAGAACACTGGTAGATCCTGAAGGACTTAATCCTTGCCAGGCTACACTCAGGACTAGACTTGAAGCCTTCAAGGTAACAAACCAGCTTCAACTAGAATAAAATCTGGGTATCCCTCAGAACTCGCAGGAAGTAGTGAGGAGCCTTTCTGAAAGGAAGGGACAGAAGGCAACTGTCCACATATGAGACATTACAAAACAGGTCTTTTAACAATTGCCATCTCGGAACTCTTACCTGTGTGTTTTGGAAATAATGCCTCCAAAGAGGTCTAATTTTATCTTGACCACCAACATCCCAAACTGTGAAACAAATGTTTTTATATTCTACTGTTTCCACATTAAAACCTAAAATAAAAGAGTCAAATAGTTAGAAATAATGCTAGTGTTAAAAGGTCATTCTAATCATGTTAAAGATAGTTACTTCCCAAGTTCTATTTCTCCCAAATATATATAAAATGGCTTATCACAATCGAATTGCTAGATCAAGAAGAAAATTGACTTAAGGATGAAAAAAACAGATCAATAAAATCCAAGTACACCCCTTCGGTTCAACAAGTCTTTCAAGCCACAGACTGCTAGAGGTTCGTGGTGTTTGGGGGAAGTACTGCTACTTAATCGGTTCCTATACACCTGAGCATCTGCTACTGGCCACTGTCAGACACAGGACTCTGATCTAGATGTATCTTTGATCTGACACAGTTATGTTATGGCAGTACCAGAAAGTCCATGTTTGTCTTGATTCTTATACTAACAGCAAAGATAGCAAATCCCTACATTCTGCAGAAGCCTGTCTCTGCAACACAAATTTAGAGTAACAAGAATGAAGACATGAGAATTGGTTATCTTACCAATAGTGGGAATTGTGGTGACGATTTCTCCTAATTTCAGTTTATAAAGAATAGTTGTCTTACCAGCAGCATCCAAACCAACTAGAACAAACAGAAAACTTGATTTAGTTCACAATATACACTACAACCTGCTAATTTAAAAACGTGCATTTTACATGCAGACTATTAGGGTTTTTTTCCTAAAACAGACCGAGCTTTTTAAACACTCTTAAGTCACTGTTGACATATTGCTGTGTGTTCCTCCCCATCTCCTCTACCCAGCACTGAGGGAGAGAACAAGCAATGAAGAAAACAAGGGTCAGTAACACATCTTCATCCACAACTTACAGGCTCACAAGTTTCTAGTCATCTTCCTTACTCTTTGTGTTACTTAAGTTTTATCATTCACTTTGAAAGTTTCTTCTGTGTAAATCAGAATGGTTTTAAATGCCTAGCAACAATCTACAAGCAGCACACAGTTTCTAACTGATCACATTTGCTACTTCACACTCAAGCAGGGGAAATGTCTCACTCCACCTTCAGCTAAGGCCAGTTTCACATGCACCCGAACCAACAGGAGTTGGCACTATCAATGGAAGACACAGTCTCCCTCATTCCAGTCCCTTGTCCCCTTGCTAACACATTTCTTTTGCACTGACAAACAGACATATATTAGGAAACTCCTGTCATCCCTCCACATATACCCTAAGGGCTGTAACTCTTCTTCAGGACATCACTTCTATTCATTGAGATCCACTAGGATGCTTTCATTAGGAGTCTCCACTTCTGATCTTCATAGAAGGCCTTCCGCACTGAAATTTGCTCTTCTGTTTCTACAAAAATACCTTAAGCTTGCTGTTTTTCAATGTAAGCTATGTGGTAAATATGTGATCCTTAAAAAAATAAAGAAAGAAAACAAACTGGAGCCTCAAAGACATCTTTTGAGAAGCATCACTGACACTGCAGGCATACACTGTAGTTTTCTAAAACTGTGCAACTGCTTGTTGTTAGACATTTCAGAACACATAAGAGCAACTCAAAATACTACTCCTTATGTTAAAATCCAATGCCTAGCGCATAAGCGCCTAAATAAACAGCAGGTACTAAACACTTTCCACAACAACAGCTTGAATAAAATGTCTATTTGTGAAACTTAAATTGGTCCATAAAATTTTGCCCAAACAAAAATACACACCCCCCCTCAAAGAATTAATTAAATAATATTTGCACAAGAAACCAAATGTTATCCTTGTTTGATAACATTCTTATGTGTTCTGAGTTAATTTCCTACTTGGTAACTGTGATATATTAAGCTTTAAGTGGTTTGATGACTTGACTATTAATAATACGACTGTTTCCTTAGCCTTGCAATAAAATGGAAATTGAGATTACCTACTTATTCAGAATGAAACCAAACTCTTAAAAAGCCGCCTCCTTCTCAAAGACCCAAACTGCTGTTACAGCAAGCTCATTAAAAAACCCATCTATAATTGTCCTATATTTTGATACTGTGAACAGGATTATACATGACAATGCAGCTTCTTTGGTATTGTCATTGTGTTTTTAAAAAAAGTTGTTCTAATTGTTAATATCATGAAAGAAGGGGGGTGGGGTGGGAAGCTACCATCAAAACCAAAGCTCCTCGAGGGGTAATAAACTCCAAAAATGCTCAAATTAAAATTTAACAGTTTCAAGCTTGCTATTGTCTAAGTGCTGGTCTCTTTTACAGCCGCACACAAGCACGAACAAAAAAGAGACATGGCGCAGCAGAAGTTTCACAAGAGCTTGCAAGTCATGAAACTTGTAAATGTTAGCATTTTCTCTAGACCAATGAAGTGTCAGGTAGCCTTAGAAAACCCTTTAAGCAAACTCTGAAACCCTCAAATACTCCATCTATGCTGAAAAACAATGTTTTTAACAGCACAATGCTTGAAGGCCAACACTATTCTCACACAGTTCAGCTTCAAGTGAGCATTTGTAGGAGGCCTCGATCTTTGCAAGAAAACATAATGCATGTACATGACATATATGTGATAGTTTTCCAGTAAATGAACATTATGATCATTTAGTGAACCACCAATTAAAGCTACAGATACTCACAAACTCTTCTCCCACCCCCCAAAAAAGCCCTCAGTTATCAATAGAACAAACACTGACAAGATTTGTTAAAATTCGCAACAAAACAAAGATGGCGTTATCTACACAAATGGATTTAGTTTATTTAGGGGTTATACTAAAGATACAGAGGAAGACAAAGGAAAAAAAAGCTAATCTCATTTCAAAGAATATGCACAGGGTATTGAGAACCATTTGAAGATATGACTCAGAGTTAAGAAATTAGAAACTAGTTAAGAATTTTAAACTATTTGCTAAATTTAAGAAATTATTGCCCCAATTATCCACTCTGCTCTTGTGCAAGGACCCACCACCACCTCAGTGGCGTTGGGAAAAGGCTTACATTAGCTACTGAAAGTGCAAAGCCTGGAGACTTTGCTTAAATCCACTATTATGCACAATTCTAATTAAGCTGTTGGACTTTGCACTGAGGCAGGCTGAGTTATGGATATGTGTTTTCTTCTTCTGACTCCACACTTGAGACAGCAGCTTTTAACTGAGGGGAGGCAACTTCTGCAAATCACCATGACCCCATTTGCAAAAACTGCCTCTTTAAGCCAAATTGCAAACGTTAGGAAGCCTAAACAAGCAAAGGACATCAAGAGCATAGCCTCCATTCACACTTCTTACTCCAATTTGCCATTTACCACCCTTTTTAGAACAAGAAATTTCAGAGCACCAAGTCACATTTAATCTTTTTAGCTGCTACGACATGTAACCATTGCTTTTAGTAGTCCAAGAATAAACACGTGTTTACATTTGCACTGGAACACAATGTAAATCTACAAGCTACTTCAATGTCAGAGTTTAAGTTGATTTAACTACCAAGATTAAAGCCTAAGTCTTAAATCCCCAAATAACGTAAAGGATATTTCCGATTCTACATTTTCACTCTGATTCCACTGCCTGCCTGATCACTGGCAAGACTAAGGTGTAAGAATCTCAATATAGGGTATGACGGTCAGCAGTTATACCACAAAGCATTAAGATTACAATGGAGTACAAACGGGAAGCACAGACTTGCACTTGCAACCATTTATCTTTAAACTCAGTCAAACATCCTCTTCCTCTGGCTGGAGAAAAAAACATCTACAATACCTTCAGTTGCTGTTAAAACCATTGTGGTCCCAAGCCCTTTACTCCTCTTAAGAGTGTTTTATTCACAGTCTGCCTATCATTCGCTTGTCCCTGGGAACACCACCCCTGTGACCACATGATATTCCTCATTTACCAACTTTCTACTTTGATCATTGGTGGCTGAATTATCAAGCTGCCTCAGTTACCACAGCACAGAACTTCATATAAACTATAGATGCAGAAAAATTGAGAACTGACTTTTTAAATGGAATCCCCATCAAGACCAATAGATCTTGGTTGTCAGATTGAGATTTCCAGAGTTTACTATAGAATACAGCATGTTGCTGCTTCCAACATGAACATTTTCCACAATCAGAGAAAGAAAAAAAAAAAAAAAAAAGCACTTCTACTATATTTAACTGATTCATGACATTCATGTTACAAACAAAAGCCAACTTACAAAAATAAAATTAACCATTTCCAATTTACTACAGGTTTGTATTCCTTCACTCTTCTTTTACCTTTATATCAGTTCTCTCAAAACTTATTTATCCTTCATGTACTATTCCTCTTCCAGGTTTCATTTCAATTGCTAAGACTTTGGGGGACATGAAGGGATCATTCTGAATACAGCTTCTCAAGAAAACACACATGCATGGAAAAAAACCCAACAGCATGAAAACCAACAGTGCTTAAAAAAAACCCAAAACAAATAAAAACCAGCTAAATGGGTTTGTGCTGTACGGTGACACAATTCCCAAAGAATCTGACAATTTTTTTCCTGATGTATTTAGTAATTACCTTTGTATTCGAAGCTCCTGAGTAGCTATTATCTCAGTTAACACTTGCACAACTACACCAAGACACAGAACACTAAACTATGATACTGAAAGGTGCACAATGAATCAATAACCTTTCTTTTTTAAGCACAAGAAACTATGAGTGAAGAGTTTTACAGATAGGTACATGTCAGGTTAGGACTCAGTTTTTCCACTCTAATGCCCTGGTTGCCTAGTCTAAGTCATTCAATCCTATCCTACAGTTTTTTCTTTCCTTTTCCCTCATGTTAATTCCATCTATAAAACCGACGCAGGAATTATTCTACATTCATTTCCTCAGAATAATGTTAACTTTGTATTTCTGAAAAATACTTAATTATACAAGTGCCTTTTTTAAAAAAACAAAATTTCAGTTAGCAGTATATCATTACATGTCCACCTTTTACCATAAATGTATTTTGAGAATACAAAAGATAGTGTGTCATGTTAGCTCTTGGTAATGGTACCTGATGAGAAATATTCAAATTCTGCAGAATTCAATAACACAAATTCTGTCTTAAGAGCTAAATTAATTCTACTTTAACTTGAATTCTGCAGAAACAGAAGAGAGTTGTGAAAGGGAAGTTTGAATTATAAATTAATACTCTGTTCATTATCAACTCACCCATATAATATCTTCCCCTAAATATTTCATCATAAACACCTTACCCCATCAAGTTACTTCACTGGCATACCACTTAAATGCCTAGCCTTGTCCAGCACACTTTCAAATCATAAATTGATAATTATCACCTTGAGGAAAAGTTTAATTCAGTCCCAGTATTCATTCAGACATATCTCCTCAAAAGTGCTGATACATAAAGCAGAACACTATGAAAAGCTGCTTCTCCATGTTACAGGTATAAACGAATCCTGTGATCTCCAATATAACATATTCTGCTTCTAAACATCCAATTTAGGTTCTATGATACAGTCTCATCACAACATAGCAAAAGTTTCACCCTATTATACTACATAACAAATATGATGCAGTCTCATGCTCTGATCCAGTCCTGTATTTGAATATAATCCATGCCTTAAAATCAAAATTATTTAAAAAAAAAAAAAAATGCAGTTGAACCAACTGCTAGAAAGTGTGACTCCCTAAC